CCATTATGCACCAGACCCCAAAACAGGCCTGTTATGAGTAGAGATTGAGCCCATACCTGATGAAAAGTCAAAGTCCCAGGCAGTCCCTGAGTCAGACACACCATTCGCATTCACATCCATGGCACATCCCATAGACAGGAGGGGCACTAGGGCTCTCTGGAGAGGACAGAAAGGCACACAAGCCTTCCTCTCATTGTGTTTCGATGGGTGGTGGGGTGACTTCTGTCCCAAAAGTAACCGATATCCACTTGGAAAAGACAGCATCTGTGGCATGGTGAAGCACGTCTGTCTGGCTGCTTCCTGGTGTTACTCCCCGGTCTAAAGGGTCTGCCTATGCCTCTCTTCTCACGCCCTTCGTCCTCTCTAGGTTATTGATCTGGGCCTCAGAGCCCTCTCCCTCCCTCAGTTATATTGGCCTCACAGGCTTAGACGGTGATTAGGAATTTAATTATTTAGTTTCTCCAGCTTGGTAGATTAATTCCATCCATCACAGGCAGGCTGAGCCTTTTCTCTCTGTGCTCTTTCCAAGGCTGCCCAGCCAGTTCCAAGAGGAAGTAGCTCCACAGCTCACTGAGCCTGGAGGCAATGGATGAAGTCTACCTAGGGTGAGGGAGTGTGTATAAATCTAAGCCACAGAGTGTCTTTTTAGCAATAAGTACAGACTCTAACATGTCCGTCTGTGAAGAATGTGCAGCAATTCAGGCCTCTTGAGTTTCAGCATAGAGGAGGCCAACGTGCAACCTTCTGCTGTCCTGCAATTCATCTGGGAGAAGCTCCCTCCACTGTGCTGCTTATGTTTGACCCCAGTGAGAGCAAAGCCACCTACTTGAGTTAGACTGGAGGCAAAACCAGTACTGTATCTACCCTGGCCCAAGACTGGTGATCTGGGTCTATCTCCAAAATTGGTTGGTGATCCCATTGCCAAAGTAACTCTTGATAGGAAGGTATGAGGGTAACAGCGAAACTGACCTTTCAGAACAGGCAGCCCCAGGTTGGGGTGCATCTAGGCGGATCATCAACTCCCTCAAGGAACTACCAACAGATGAAAAGAAACAAAAAACATTACACACGGTGGAAACATCACTTATGACAAGATTGTCCAAACTGCCCAACAGATATAGATATTTAGCCAGAGAATTCTCTGAATTCTTTAAAAGATCCTACCATTTGCCTCATCTGTAGATCACCATGTTGGTTGCCACCACACTCATGACATCACAGATGACATTAACAAGGGTTCAGTGGGAAGGGGGGTGTAGCTTAGTGGTAGAGCCCTGAGTTCAATTCCCACTACCCCAAGAAACAAAACAAATAAAAGTAGTGGTGTGATGGAATCCCAGCTAGTTATGAAGTTCAAAGGAAAATGTTACAATAGAGGATCATGTTATAAGCAAAAATATTCATTATAACATATGTAAGTTTTATGTAAGTGCCATAAACATGCATATACATGTACATAGGGGTAGAAGGAGTGATGGCTGATTAGGCTATATTGTTACTCTGACCATCTTCTGGCAACCTTGACCACTACAAGACAGGTAGCTTTCTTTTTTTTTTTTCTTTTTCTTTGGTTTTTGGTTTTTCTCCAGTACTGGGAATCGAACTTATGACGTTGCGCTTGCCAGGCAGGCACTGTGCCACTGAGCTAAATCCCCAGCCCCAAGACAGGCAGCTTTCTGAGTGCTGCGTCTCTCTGGGGTGAGCATGGGATCCCCTCCCAACCCCCAATCTTAAGCTACAGAGTTGGAAAGCACCACAGTGATTATGCGGCCTGAGGTTTGCATAGTGCTTGAATCCCTGGGGCAGCATTCCAAAATGAGTCTCCAGTCTTAGTCTGCACAGTTTCAACACAAAGAGTCAACTCCTCCCCAGCTGTTCTTTCCATATTGGATGACTCTGCCATCAGGAAGGTTCTAATTATAAACCCTGGCCACGCCACTGAAGGTATTTCCCTTCACTCTGCCTTGTCCTCACTCTTACTGACGTAATTCAAGTTTGGGGGCCATCCTTCCTTTCCTTAGTCACTGAGCTTCAAATCACTGAATATCATTGGGCACTGAAGATATAGATGGATGAGAGAGATCTTACCTCTTAACATTCATGCTTTAGTGGGGAGGAAAAAAATAAAAACTATTAACAAGAATAGAGATGGGAGTGATTAACTTAGTTTTTTTGTTTTGTTTTGTTTTGTTGTTGTTGTTTTTCCAGCACCAGGAATTGAACTCACAACCTCACGCTTGCCAGGCAGGCACTGTGCCTCTAAGCTAAATCCCCAGCCCCTTTTATGTTTGTTTGGGGGTATTGGTTTTTTTTGTTTTTGTTTTTGTTTTTGTTTTTGTTTTTGTTTTGTCATTTTGAAACAGGGTCTTGTTATACAGTTCAGACTGGCCTTGAGTTCACTTTGCAGCCCAGGCTGGTCTCAAACTCGCAACAATCCTCCTGCCTCAGCCTCCCAAGTGCTGGGATCATAGGCATGCACTACCATGCCCAGCATGATTAACTTGGTCTTGAGAGGGAAAAGAAGTATTGTCTCGGTTACTTTTCTCTCATTGCTGGGACAAATACCTGACATCCAAAGTTAAGGAAGGAAAGGTTTATTGCGCTCACAGTTTATAGAAGTTTCAGTCCATAATCAGCTGGCTCCAATGTAGGGTGGTATGACAGAGGGGCAACAGCTCAAGGCGGCAGAAGATAGCAAAAGTAGCACAAGCAAAAAAGGGGTGAACAAGGCTCTTTTCCTCCCTTATATTGTAGGCAGGGTACTCAACCTAGGGCAGGTATAGCACTCATACCATCTCCATGCCCTCCTCTTGCACAGGCTTAGGGTGTTTACAAAGTGAGGCCCCTGGCACCCGCTGAGTCACTTAGTTAAACTTCTAAACTTCTCAAGTTGACACAATGTATCAACCATTACAAGTATCTTTTAGGGAAAATTCCTAGGAAAGAAGACACTTAAATTGAGTCAGAGGCTGAGGAAACTCGAAGTCTGTGCTTCCTTCGTGTCCCACACATTCTTCTGCTCCATCCTCGGTCTCCCATTCTCTTCTGGCTGGCTAAGCACAGAAATCCACCAAGGAGAGCAGGGACTTAGACTTCTCCAAGGCTGGGGCAGGGCCAGGCAGAGTTTCAGACAGAGCTGAGGGATAGGAGATGCTACTACAAGAGCCCAGCATTCAGCCAACCAAGAGGCGTCAAGGGGTGCATGGGGCCCAGCCCTGTGTTTAACCTCCTGCGGTAGAGGTCCAGAAGGGAAGGAAGGGCCCCACTGCTGGAAGCCCCTGTCCTAGCTCACTAGGGAGCTTATAGGACAGTGTGGTAACTTAGGAAGCAGTTGTAAGCTCTGGATCCCAGGAAGACACAAGGAACCCGGATCAAAGATTTGCAAAAGCCATTGAATCGGTCTCACTGAGCAGCTTCAGCCTCATGGACCTCTGCTATGGGCCTGATCTCCTCAGAACTGCTCACTGGCAATCCTAGTGGTCTATTAGCATCCCCAGAGGCCAGGGCACACCTTGGGTGCCATAGTCACATCAGCCTACCTAGTCATAGCTTCTCAGACTAGAAAAGACTTGAGAGTGTTAGGAGGAAGGAAAAAAAAAGAAGCAAGAGGGCTCCTACTGTACCAGGTACCGTGCTGTGTATCATGCAGATTAGCCCTGTAATCCTCACTGCAACTCTCAACTTCAGCATTCTCGTAAGGAAGCACACATACTGTTAACAGCGTTTATCCGTGATGGGTAAAACATCAGGAGACTTTGCTCAGTGCTTCACAGAATAATGTGCCATCAGTAGTAAAGTATTTCCAGGAGCCAAAATATTATCTATCTCCCCTCTGTGTGTGTGTACGTATATGTATGTGTGTATGTGCATGTATGTGTGTGTGTATACACTAGGGATCAAACCCAGACTCTCAGTCAGCACCCTCTTTTACCACTGAGTTCCACACTTCCAGCCCTTATTTCCCATTTTTTACATAAAGGATCCATCATTAGCACTATAGACCTGGCTTTTGTCCACTTTCTCATCCTTCCCCTGTTGATGTCCTCACTTTTCCAGATGGACAATTTGGAAGATGAATTCAATGTGTTCAGTTCAGCCTCAAACTCTTCTGTCTGCACGGAGGCAAGTTACCAACAGGGAATACTGCTTTCCTTTGCTTTTCTCTGCCTTAGTCTACAGGGTTCTGCCACATAAAGACATTGGACAGTTAGCCTAACCTCCCCAGTAATGAAGATGATATGTATCCTTTATTTGCCATTTCCTGTGTCTCATTTTTCAAATGAATTAGGAGTGGGGAAGAGAAATGTTAATGTTGGGGCCTCCTTCAAACTCCCAGTAGTGCAGAAAGATCGCTGAAACAGGAGATAAATAGCCTGGTTTATAATCCTAAATGTGCCCCTGAGGACTGGTGCCCTCGGGCAAATCACTCACCAATTTCTTATCTGACAAATGAGTCTAGGTTCTTTATTATAAGCAATGGAAACCAAGTCTGGTTATTTTAAGCCAAAAAAAAAAAAAAGGAAAATGTGTGGTAAGGACATTGGTAGCTTATAGAATGATGAGAAGCTACAATTAAAGGCTTAGACAACCAACTGAACCATGAGTAAGAACAGCCTGATCCATGTCATGGCTAATGCTAAAATAAACCTGGCAAATTCTTTTAGTCTGGGTAAGATAAAAACTAAAATAACCTCCCAAATTATAAAGGTTTCATATAGTACAAGTTTGTTTCTGTCTTATATGACAGGGGGGCTGGGGATTTAGCTCAGCAGCACAGTGCCTGCCTGGCAAGTGCGAGGTCGTGAGTTCGATTCCTGGTACCAGAAAAAACAAAACAAAACAAAAACTGTCTTATATGATAGCCCAAGTTGGGGGCTCCTGGTCTGGTGGCTGTCTACCAGCCAACATCTCGGGGACCCAGATTCCTTCCGTCTTCTGGCTCATGCGCCTCTGTGTCCACGGAGTCTTCTTCACTCAGCCGGTGGTTGGGAAAGAGAGAGAGCAAAGGTTGTATGCAGAAGGACCATGCAGGGCAAGCCTAAATCTTCAACATTTTTCTAAATTCTCTTGTTCAGAACTCAAATCACATGGCTGCATGTAACTGCAAGGAAAAGGTAGTCCGTCTGTACGCCAGGAGAATAAGGAAGTGGAGTCAGTTGAACATTTGACAGTCTGTCAGAATGTCACTTGGAGAAGATTCAGAGTTCTGAGAAGGATCATCTGATTTGTTAAGGTTAGGTTATACACCAACCTAATAAGAGTATCAGAAAAGAAAGCAGGAATCTGTCTCTCTTTGCTGTGATTTGTGTTCCTTCTCCCCCAAAAATTCATGTTAAACAGCAAGAAGGGCATAACAATTTGCCAGCCAGAAAGCTATAACTTTCCCAGCAAAGCAGCCAACTCTGCCAACAAGTACATCACTATATGCAGCCGCTTAACCTTGGACCAGAAACATGAGTCAAAACATATTCATTTTCGTACAACTCAAGGGCAAAAGCCTTCTGCAAGTCCCAAAGAATGCTACAACTCTCAAAAGAACAACTAATAGGCCAAGACAGTATCAGTGTTGGAAAAGTACAAGCAGTCTGAGAAATTATAATGTAAGAAAAGTCAGATGCAGCAACAATACATGTTAAAATGGAAAGAGTATTGCAAGGTTATGACCTTCAAAAAACTTTCCCCAGATTTGTCATGACTAAAAAGTCCTGATAGCAGCTCTAACATTTTCACCCAGCATTTACTCTCCCCTAAAATCTAAATTGGAGCCTGAGGTTGTGGCTCAGTGGCAGAGTACTTGCCTAGCATGCATGTGGCCCTGGACCACAACCCCCTTGATTCCCAGGACCACAACCAAAGCAACAACAACCCTGTTGACTCTTTAATAGTTTTATCCACCAAAAGAATCTAGAACTTTTTTGCAGAATAGCTGATTCCATAGGTTGGGGAAAAAATCAGTATGGCTTTGGAATATTTTGTTGTAGCAAAAAGAAAGTATGTTTTAAGGATGTCAGGGTCAGAGCCAAACAGACAAAGCTTAAAGATATATCCATTGGCCAAGTCTAACAATTTTATTTTATTGTTTGTTTGTTTGTTTGTACCAGGAATGAACTCAGGACATTACACTTGCCAGGCAGTCACTTGTGCCACTGAGCTATATCCCTGGCCAACAATTTTATTTTAAAACACTATAGTTAGAGTTAATTAGA